GGAAAGCCAAGGAGGGGTCACTATGAGTCGGGGCCAACTCGACGGCATATAACAACAACAACAACTGACGGGTTGCCATGGGTCAGAACTGACACAATGGCATCTGGTTTTATGGGTGTTAATGGCCAGAAGAACTAACAGATCTGTCCTGAAGAAGTGCAGCCGGAATGCTCCTTGGATGGGAGAATGGCCAAACTTTGTCTCACCTACTTGGTCATGTTGTCAAAAGGCATCATTCCCTGGAGAAGGATATCATGCTTAGTAAAGTGGAGGGTCAACAAAAAAGAGGAAGGCCCTCAATGAGATGGATTGACACAGTGGCTGCAGCGATGGGCTCAGGTACAGCAAGGATTGTGAGGCTGGCACAGGACCAGGCAGTGTTTCCTTATATTGTACATAGGGTCACTGTGAGTGGGACCTGACTCGGCACCTAACAACAACAAATGGCCCAGATTGGAGGAAGCCTGACAGTTCTTGTTGTTGTGAGTTGCTCTGAGTTGGCACTGACTCATGGTGATTTTATACATAATAGAATGAAATGTTGCTAGGTCCTGTGCCATCGTCATGGTTACTGGTATGTCTGCATCCATTGCTACTAATCAAGATGGCAGCTGTAGGGTAGCCCTTTTAATTAATCAGTGACTAACAGTTCTACTCTGACACACACAGGGTCACCATTAGTTGGAGCTGACTTGATGGCAACTGCTGGTGGTGGTGGTGGTTGTTATTAGATCTAAATAGCATTGGGAGTCTCTGGGTGGGGCAAAAGGTTAAAGCAATTGACTGCTAACCAAGAGACTGGAGGTTCAAGTTCACCCAGAGTCACCTCAGAAGAAAAGCCTGCTGATCCACTCCTGAAAATCAGCCAATAAAAAACACTATGGATTACAATGGTCTGATTCCCAACCAATCAAAGGGGCTAACAACAAAAAGCATTAATAAAGGTTCACTTAAGCTTCTTAGTAAGCTGACTTAGAGGAATAACGATGTCACTGTTTCCATAACTTTACTTTCTGTTCCGCACTCTGTCTCCACCTCTTCTTACCATTAATGGCAAAACATGGAAGTAAAAAAATCTTTTGAAGGTTAATATTGCGTTTTCATGGATCCTGTGATCTGGGGAGAGGGGTGTGGCCGCCATCTCTGGTCGCAGGCCGGAAGCTGGACCAACGAAGTGTGCAGGAAGGGTCTAAGCGAGTGCAGACAACGACCCTGTCAGCATCTGCCACGCACAGTCCCAACCAAACCCTGGACTGCGGCTGTTCCTCTTCCTTCCCGGACTCCCCATCTGGAACTTACGTCCGACCCTGCCAGTGCGGTAGGTTCGGGACCTTAGTGTCTTGTCCCGCGGAGCCGCCTCACTTTATCCCAGTTTCCATCATGAAAACAACTCAGCCCTTCGCGCTCCGCCACAATGGTGGAGTGTAGTACCAACGCCCTTCCCCTCTCCCTCTGGAAGCTCCGTCGCGCATGCGCATCCCGTTGGCAGTGCGCGAGGCGGCAAAGGTTCGGTAAGAAGGAAGGACAGCGGTTGGGCAATGATGAGCCACTCCCACCGGGTAAACGTCTCTGCGCATGCTCCGAGTGCTAGCTTCTGGTACTTTCCACGGCGTCTGTGTGCTCTCTGAGCTCAGTTCGCATCAGGACGTTGGAAGTAAATGTTGTGAGTTTGCTCTTGGAGAGTAGGTTGTAGACGCCATCTTTCGTTATAAACTTAGAAAGAAAGGCCTTCGTTGGGCCATTCTAATCCGTCTTGAGTGACCTGTCCACGGCCTGTGGTAAGTTTTCTGGTGTTGGGGTCGGCCCTGCACTTAATGCCAAGTATGGAGCCTGGAATAGTGCTGTCTTGGTGGAACTGGTTTGGAGGAGGGAGGGGGCATGTATTTTCATTGGATTCGCAGAGTCACAGCCTTTGGTGGGATTTTAAGTTTTAAGGGTTGTTTTTCGCAAGATCTTGCCGCGTCTGCGCGGTAGCTCGTCTTCGTGAGAGCGCCGGGTGGGGTCGTTTCCGGGAGGCGGGCGTCTAATCCGGGCGCGGTGACCCGTTTCCGGATTTCACCTTCCTTTTTTTTTTTTTTCTTTTTTGGTACTTAGGAACGACTTGAGGGTTTGAGAAGTGATTTTTCTCCAAGAAGTGGTTAAAGCCACAGGTGAGGATGTCTAACTACGTGAACGACATGTGGCCAGGCTCGCCGCAGGAGAAGGAGTCCCCCTCGACAGGACATTCCAGCCGCCTGTCGTCCTCGCGGTCCAGTAGTCGCTCCTCCAGAAGCTCTCGGTCCGGCATCAGCGTCTCGAGTCGGTCGTCGTCCCGCAGTCGGAGCCTGCCCCGGAGAAGGAACAGGTCTAGGTCTCGCTCCCGGAGACGCCACCAGCGGAAGTGCAGGCGCTACTCTCGGTCTTACTCGAGGAGCCGCTCGCGGTCCCGCAGCCGCCGCCGCAGGTACCGCGAGAAGCACTACGTCTCTTCCCGGAGGTATTACCGCTCTCCTTCTCGGCGCCGATCCCTGAGCAGGTCCCGCTCTCGGGGGAGGTCGTACTATAGGAGGGCTTACGCCCTCACGCGGGGCCGACGATACTATGGTTTTGGCCGCACGGTGTATCCGGAAGAACACAGAAATTGGAGAGAGCGATCCAGGACGCGGTCGCGGAGCAGAACTCCCTTTCGCTTAACTGAAAAAGGTGGGTAACTTACCGTTTGGCGTACAGGTTTTCACTTTTTCTGCATATGGCGACACTGTATGTGTAGGTTAGTGACCCAAAAAATTTTTGTGCAATTTCCGTTTATTGCTTTTGCACGAAATTTGTATTTTTGGGCAAAGTGGCGGGTTAGCTGATTATCGTTACAATGCTATCGGCCTGTTTTTAAATGGATAACGTTCATTCTTACCTGGATTAAAGGTGTATGGTGGCTGTTAAAGTGAGTTGCTCTGTGGAGGAAAGCCTTTGTACTTGTGGAGATTTTCAAATGTTAGTGATCTAAGGCATTTTCTACTGAGTGCTAAGAACGCTAACCATGATTTGATCATCGCTCTTCTGTCTTCATAGTCTTACGTATTTTTTCTTGTATACACTTTGTTATCTATACCTTTTTTGGGGGTTAGGGGGTGGGGGAGATGGGATTCTGAAATGGGAAAAAGACTTAAGTGAAAAACTAAGAAAATACAAGTGAACTAAACCTATTTCTAGGAGCTCTGGTAGCATAGTGCCTAAGGCACTTGACTGTTAACCAGAAGCCTGGCGGTTCAAACCCACCAGCCACTCCTTGGAAGGTTGGGCGATCTACTTCCATAGTGATACTGTCTTGGAAATCCAAGAAGGGGTTGCTATGAGTCGGGTCTGACTTGATGGCACATAACAAGACAACAACAATAAGCTTATATCTAAAAAAAAACAAGTTCAGGAATATAAACTGAAGAGAAAGCAAAAACTGTGAAGTTCATCCTTTAGTATGGAAATCTAATTGTTGATACCATTTAAGGGTGCTTTTTTTTTTTTTTTTTTCCTTTAAGCAATAGAGGTAGATTCTCGTTTTTGTGAATAAAGTTGTACTTTGTATGTGAAAATAAAATAAATATGTTCTTTCTAAAATTTGTGGTTCTGAGTTCTTTGGCGAATCAAAGAATTTCTTGCTTTTGTCTCTTGTAGATCGAATGGAGCTGTTAGAAATAGCAAAAGCCAATGCAGCGAAAGCTTTAGGAACAGCCAACCTTGACTTGCCAGCTAGTCTCAGAACTGTGCCTGTAGCTAAAGATACAAACTCTGGGACAGCTATAAAGCGAGAGGTAAGTAGTCCATGTTTATCTAAAGGAAATACTCTAAAACTATTACCAAGAAGTTCTGGTTAGCCATTTTTATGTGATTTACTTTATATTTCTCAGAAAGACTACCTTATATTATTTGTTAATTTCAAAATAGCGAATCTGAAAATACTAGAAATACTCATCTGTGAAAATGGAAGAGTTAGAAACTTTATATTTTGGTGATCGTCCATACCAGATAGGATGTTCCTAAAAGGCTGTGTTCCAGGAAACCCCACTTGGGACAAAAAATCCTGGTTTTCATCAGTGAGTGTTAGCTAAGTATGTCAAAAACAGCCAATCTAGTAGATAGACTCTCACACCTGGAAATGGAAGAGTAATGAACTTTATTTTGGCTTGACACACTACTAGTTATACACTGTTAATGTATTGTAACTGGTACTTGGTGATACCTATGTAGTTAGATATTTTTAAACTCGTACTCTTTACACAATATTTATCTGTGGCTTTCATTTGCAGCATATGTTCCCACAAAATCTGTACTCAACATACAGTATAGTTTACCTGCTTTATTTCTGTCTTATAGAAATCTTGAAAGTGGTCTCCAGACATTGATGAAGAAAATCTGTTGGTAATTGATACATGGGCTAAAGCATCAGAGGTTTAAATAATTTGAAGTTTACATTCACACATGAAACCTTAGCTTTTGGTTAGTAGATCATGTGCATGCTAGACTTTGGGTCAGGTACTATTTGGATAAGGTACTAAAAACTATTTTTAACTAAACGTCAGTATACTTTGTAATGGTGGGGCATCTGTGGTGTAGATGTCCCTTTCATAATATATGCAATATATTCCAGATGTTTTGAGAGATTACAGAAGAAGAGACCTGCTTCATGTGCAGATAAGTTTGCCGCCATTCTCCAGAAATACACAGGCTCTGCACTGGCAGATAACACTGTATTTATGTGAAATCCAAAGTTTAAAATTCATAATCTTGAAAGGCTTAAATTTCTGATTTATATTGAACTTTAGGGACTTTTTTTTTTTTTTTTTTAAATCGTAACTAAGTATTTTATAAAAATGATAAGTAAAATTATTAACATTAACCTCAGATGAGATGTGCTGTGTAAATGAGCCTACCATTGGGACTCTGGTATGGGTTGGTTTAGTATCACTAGTAGACAAATAAGAGTTTTAGTTGAGTTGCTTACTCACGTTGTGAGGTGCCATAGTTAGTTGAAGAAATAAATTAGAAACTAGGTATTATATGATTTTACTCTTAAGAGTTACTTGAATTTGGAATACAAGGATAAATTTATTTATTACTTACATTATGGCAAAGAATACTTTAATTAAGTTTGTCATTGTCAGTTTTGTTAAGGGGAAACCTCAACACTACTTTGTTGTTCAGGCTGATAGTTACATGATTAGAGCCAACTTGACTTGTGTATGCAACTGAATTTGTATACTACTTGTACACAGTACTTGTAAACCAAGGGCATACTTTAAAAAATATACTTTCCTTACCTGTCTAGCTGTCGGAAAAATTAACCAAAGATGGAACTAAAAGTCCCAGTGAAAAACCTTCCCAGCAAAGAAGCATAGCTTTTAGCTCTAATGTAGTAAGTACTATCTAAGCATTGGACATTCAAAAATAGGATTTTGAACATACTGGTATTACGTAGGTTTTCATTTCTGTTGGAAGACTTATCTTTTTGTCTCTGTGTTGATCATTTAGGGTCTCTTAAACCTCTTTGTAAATAGAGTTAATAGCTTTTATATTACTGTGCCACTTTACAAGTGACCAAAATAATCGGCTTCCATATCTGACATCCACATTGTTTTCAGTATTTTGCCATTCTTTTTATCCACTGTCCTTAATTCTTTAAATTGAAGTATTTTAACTCAGAATATTCCAAAATAACAGTATCAAGATCAGATAGGGGCTTAAAAAACAAAATACCAAGTGTTATGACACTTAACTATCATAATATCGCTCTTGTGTATCCAGTAGTTTTCTTTGTGGCATTACAGTTTGATCAAAGCAGATTATAAATGAGGTCTGCATTTTACATTTGGTTAATAGGGCTTACGTCTCACTCTTAGATGGAATTACTAAGCTTGTTAAACGTGTGTGTTTGGAAATTTAACTTTAAGGATTTGTTCTCTTGCAGAATTCTGTAGCAAAGCCAGTACTTGAGAAAGCAGCTGAAGCTACTTCCGAAGAGGCGACTTCAGGATCCCCGAAAGTAGATAAGAAAAAAAGTCCATATGAACTGTGGTTGCCTGTCTAAAAGAAGAAAACTAATGGCTGAGGTTGTCTGAAACTGCACTTTATTGAAAGTTTTTAGCATTATTCCACCCCTGTGAGCCATTTAGTGGTAACTTGCAGATAAAACTGCACCTGGAGATTTAAGTAAATATTTAAATATTAACATCTTAGGTTTGTCTTACAGATAAGAGATAGCACAAATGGACCAGGAGTTACAACCAGGTGGGAGTTTTGTGTGTATATATATGCTTGTAAATATTTTGTATAATTGGTTATGTAGAAGTGAAATTTTTTTAAGACAAACATGATAATTGAACATTGATCTGTGTTTGTGTTGTGCATATTTGTTAATAAATGCCATTTTTTAATTATTTTAGTCTCACTTTATTATGTATCTGGTGCTTAATGGGTTTTTGTTTAAATGGAGGCACGTCATTCATCACTTTAGCCTTGTTACTCCCAAGTGTGCTCCATTGACTACTGGAGCTTCACTGGCCACACTTTGAAGTTTATTATGAATGCTAAGACTCAAGTCCCCACCTCAGCCTGAATCAGAATCTGGACATTCAATGTTTAAAAAGTTCTCAATTAATTTGGATAAAAAATTAAAATTTGAAAGGCTTGACCTGAAACACTACTGGAGTAGTGTTATCCTGGAACAGTAATAATGGGTTTAGGGCAGGAACCTAAGCCAGAAAGAAGATGAAATGAAGTATCTCATTAAGCTGTAGAACCTGAGGTTCAGTTATATTTCTTTATTCTTAATGCATTTTAAAGGTTCCTAGTTATCAATTTGAAATTTTAGGGGAAAAAAATACCATTACAGTAACACTACACATGAGATCCATTCATCCTTTCCCAGAAGGACAAATGTTTTCAGTACACATATACACAAAAACCAAACTCATGTTATCGAGTCAATTCCGACTCGACGACCCCCTTTGGGTTTCCGAGGTAGTAAATCTTCACAGAAGTAGATTGCTCAATCTTCCTTCCTAGGTGTGGCTGGTGGGTTTGAACCACTAGCCTTTTGGTTAGCGGTCAGATGCCTTTTTAAGTATGCTGTTGTTACGTTGCTGTTATGTGCCGTCGAGTCGGACCCGACTCATACCATTTTTAAGTATAGGTATCTTTAATTCCCAGTTTTACTTTCCCCTTTGTCCACGTTTTGAACAGGCTCTTAATAAACTTAGGAAATGATGACATTTCCAGTACATAGGAACAAGTTAAAGAATATGAAGGGAAGAATATTAGAGGCTCAAAAAAATTTAGACAAATACCCAGGGAATAGAACAAAAAACAGTTGAGTGTCCACAGAAGCAGCTCTGAGTTCTTTGATAAAACCAGTATTTTTAAAAGGTAACCAGTGATGGTCCTGAAGTGGAACTTAACCAGGGTGTTCTTGATGTTACAGAAGTTCTTTAGGACAGTTGCTCTGAAGGATAGTTTGATTAAAAAAAAACAGTTGCTGCCGTGATTCTAACTCTTGGTGACACCCTTTTAGAAGCAGATTGAAGGTCTCTGCCAAGGCACCACTGGGTGGGCTTAAACACCAACGTTTAGGTTAGTAAATGAGCACAGACTGCTACCAAGAGAATACTTCCAATACAACTTACATCACCATCTTTAATCAGCCTGTCATTAGTTAAATCAGCTTTTATATGTATATACAGAGTATACAACTGTGCCCCACTTGATTGCAACCTTAGTTATGTTTTTATTCACAAGTAAGGCATACATAAATATATATATATATATATATAATATATATATATACACACACACATACATATTCCTGACTTTAGGTTTCCTGTCCTGTATTTTCATAATTAGTATTAAAACCATATGCTCCTAATTTTCAGTTATAGTTGAAATAAGCTTTTTTTCATGATCAGATTTTACATATATTTTAATAATACTTTGACCAAATATTTTCACTTGACTGTCCTCCAAAGGGTTTTTGAAATATGGCTGTTTCTTGGCAGTTTTACAAAATGCCACGTGAGCATCAGTCACTTACCTCATATGCTTCCCCTAGTAGCAGATAAATGTACTTGGGGTGTGGAGTAGAGCATGGGAAAGGCAAGCATCTGTAATTGCGATTTCTGGGGAGAGGTAGCTATTGCCACTACCATAGCTAGCTAGAAAAATTGTTACCCATTTAGCATGCTACCTCTGAAGACCTAAATTTCAATACGTGAAGTTGAAACGTATGATAAATTCCAGGATGATGATTGAACATCTTTGTAGGTAATAATTTTAAGCCTAGCAGATTTCATACATTAAACACATGCTTTAAACAGAAATACTAGATTTATTATATTAGAACAAGTGCATATAAGAAATAATGCATGAAAATTCATTTGTAGAAACTTAGAACGCTAATTTACATATTATATAGTCACAAAGACACAATTGTACCAAATGGTACAATTTGGCAGGGGCACTTTACTAGCCAACTTTCACCTTTCCATTCCTGAAGGAGATTAGACTGCCCTTCCTCTTTCCAGGTTTTGTTTAATTTCATCTGTATACTTTCCATGGAATCTTTCCGCTTGTTACATATGGTGTCCCTTCCATTAATGTAGTTGATATCTGCATTATCATCATGTCTCCAGCTATATCTGTCTTGTTTTTCAACTCTGTTAAGAGAAAGATAAAGAAAAGCTGCCTGCTTTTTTGGTTTTAGTAGCTAAGGACTGAAAGCATTATCTTTAGAAGTATGTTTAATGAGCTTTGTTGAATTTCAAATTAGTACTGTCAGGTGATCTAGACTGAAGATTGGGAAATAACCCAGGTTCATACTGAAACATGAGGGCAGTGCTACCTTATAGGTGGCATAGTCATTAAGTGCTCAGTTGCCAACTGAAATGTCAGTTTGAACCTACCAGCCACTCTGCAGGAGACAGATGTGGCAATCTGCCTCTGTAATGATTACAGCTTTGGAAACAATGGGGCAGTTCTACTTTGTTTTAGAGAAGTGCTCTGAATCAACTCGATGGTAATAGGTTTACGTTAACTACTTTGAAACACAATATTCATGTACAGTCAGTCCCCAGGTTATGAACTTCGGACTTTTGTATAACTGATAGGAATCAACCCCTATAAAACTTATATTAAAAATTCAAGGTACATAATGGTTTGTAGTAATGGGTGCTATTTTGTGACATGCATCAAAACGTTACTGCATTAAAGATGTTTTAGTGATCTGGAACTGTTTTAATGTTTTTTATGCATTATTGTTGTTGTTGTGTGCCGTCGAGTCGGCCCCGACTTATAGCGACCCCTCCTTGGGTTTCCGAGGCAGTATCACTACGGAAGTAGATTGCCCAACCTTCCTTCCGAGGAGTGGCTAGTGGGTTTGAACCACCAGCCTTCTGGTTAACAGTCAAGTGCCTTAGGCACTATGCTACCAGAGCTCCTTTTTTATGCATTGTTGTTGTTGTTGTGTGCCGTCGAGTCGGCCCCGACTCATAGCGACCCCTCCTTGGGTTTCCGAGGCAGTATCACTACGGAAGTAGATTGCCCCATCTTCCTTCCGAGGAGTGGCTGGTGGGTTTGAACCGCCAGCCTTCTGGTTAGCAGTCAAGTGCTTTAGCCACTATGCTACCAGAACATAGGAGGTACATAATATACTATGACAAATATTTGAACTATTCTTAGGTATGCATTTGACTTAAAGACAGAATTAGCAATGGAACTTGTTTGTAACCTGGGGACTGCTTATATATACTCAGTTACTTCTGCCTAATGGTGAATGGGACCATTCTTCAAACCAGTATTTTAAGTGTTCCTTAATTTCTACCCATTTGCTACACTTAAGGGCATAAAAATTAACTTTGTTAGACATGAAATCAGTGCTAAAACTTTTGCTGCTTAATAGCTTTTCTAAGCCTATGACCATCCTGTTAATTTCCTCTGTGGAAGGCACATGTGTTTCATGAAGAAGACTATTGGATGTTGGGTAGAACTCTTCTCCCCTGAAAAAGAACAAATTGATAAGTAATATTTTAAAGATCCTATGCTTTCGGAACTGGACAATGTTAAATGGTCAAAAATGGAAACACTTGGGATTACATTTTGATGTCAAGTAAAAAATTCAGATATGGAAGGCACTGAAGAAATCTGCAGTGCCCCACAGTGACTATGACTTAGCTCAACCAGTTTATGTACCTAACAAAGTTCACACAGTGGTGAGCTTGAATGAGAACCATGCTCTGTTCTACATGATTTACAGCTTTCTCCATTCTATTACACTATATTAAAACAGCCTTTTATGCATACTACCTGCCTTAGATAAACACAGAGTGAGATTGCAGTTTGGCATTGCTCGTTACACATGATAAATCCTCCTTTGCTAAGGGACACAGAAGCAACAATGATAACAGCTAATGCAAACATAGTGCTTACTGTGTGCCAAGAATTGTTTAAATGCATTGTGTGAGTTAGTTTATTTAACTTTTACAATAGCCAAATAAGGTATTTAAGTGCTACTGGTAGCATAGTGGCTAAGGCACTTGACTGCTAACCAGAAGGCTGGCAGTTCAAACCCACCAGCCACTCCTCGGAAGGAAGGGTTGGGCAATCTACTTCTGTAGTGATACTGCCTCGGAAACCCAAGGAGGGGTCACTATGAGTTGGGTCTGACTCGACGGCACATAACAACAACAGCAACATTCCCTGTAAAAGGAGCTCTGGTGATGCAGTGCCTAAGGCATTTGACTGCTAACCAGAAGGTTGGCAGTTCAAACCCACCAGCTATACTGTGGAAGGACATAGGGCAAAGATTTACTGCCTTGGAAACCAAATGAGGGTGGGAGTTGCTATAATTAAGAATGGACCCAATAGTAGTGGGTTTGATTTGGTGGTTTATTCCCTGTATACAAATGGGAAAGCTGAGGTGGAAAAACTGTGTGACACAGTAAGTGGTATGGCCAGGGTCTAAGGCCAGGCTGTAAAGCTCTAGAATCAGCATATGCAAGAGTGTGATGTTAAATCACATTGACTTACTGTTTTTTTTCT